ATACTCATTTATAACACATATTGCCGCAAGTATAATCTTTTTAATATTTGCAATATCTGCTGACTCACATAAATTCACATTACATTCCATTCTTGCATATAGATAGTAATAAGTATTAATAGATTATTTCTATAAACAAGTTTTATGCTCTCTATAATTCAACTTTATTAACACAAGAAAACCTTACCTTTTGATTTCTTTCTTCCAAGTGAAACATTATCATCCGGCGATAAGGTATCAAACCTGAAAGGGACTGCACAAATTATCATGTTTTAATCACAACTCAATTTTAAAATTACCACAAAAAACTACATAACAGCAAAAAAAAATTCGTTAAATGCATCAATCTACAGCTATGAGAATATTCTATACACAAGAGTACTCTTGTATTGACCAAGGTATCAATAATGGCCTGAATTTCAGAAACATTCTAAGCATATATTTCACAGCTGCAACTACAACACCCCATATTAATATGAGCAGCTTTCGGAAGAAAACGATGCTTCATCATAAGCCAAAGTTGCTTACATACAAACTACAAGCAGTTTATTTTAAAACAAAAGAAAACTTACTTGCCTTGCAATATTCTCATTAGGCAAATGTATCAGGCCATGTATACAAATAGGCATGCAACCAGCAAAAAGAATCAAAGACTCGACATATGCATGGTGTGTGCAACCTGCCAAAATCAGCATTCTCTGAGGAGTGAGGAGCTTTTATTTTTTCAGTGGTCAAGGCAAGACACACTACAATAAAAGTCTCCAACTTGATTTAAAATAACACCTTGGTCCAAAAGTTTACTCAAGTATGATGTGCTTTCAAGAAATTATGACGTGCTTTCAAGAAAAGACATACATAAAATTCAAAATATATTTGAAATTCATGAGACTCGTTCTCAAGACTTTAGGCTTGTAATCGACCTAAACAGCAAGGGATGGAGAATTATTGTGTTCAGAAAGAAAATTTAATAGATCCAGGAGCTGGCACGGTGGATGGACATATTTGTAGTAGTGACGGAAATTCTATTGCTAAGGCTTGTTCTGCTGATATGAATAGTTCGGGTATTGACAAAGATATGAGTGAATGGACTATTGTAACGAGAAGAAGGAGAACAAATTTTGCTCGAACTGGGAACAAAACACAATCTTTAAATGTTAAAACTGCTGGCCAGGGCATAAACACTAAAACAGTTTGGAGGGAAATGAACAAAGCTCAGGAAAGTGTTGAAACAGTTAGTAAGGATATGATTGACAACATTGTTATGAAGAAGGAGAGTAATGTGTCTGATGGTATGGTGCCGGTTTTTACCCAGAAAACCGTTTGGAGAGAAGTCTCAAAAATGCAGGTCAAGGATGATATACAAAATCTGGAGGAGAATTCTATTGCTAAAGATGGTGGTCTGATGGAGATTGTTGCTCAGGAAATTGAACCTCAGGTGCAAAATGAATGGAATTTGGAACTATCCCGTTCCAAAGGGTGGAAGAAGTTGAAAAACTGGAAGGAACCCGATGCCTCTCCTTCACAGATTTTGGTCCCCAAAGTCTTAAAATTCTTTTTGCTGGTTGCATGCCTCTTTGTTATACAGAAATTTAGCATGCATACCGACTTCTTATACAAACTTTGGTACCATTTCATAGAATCAGCTAAAATATGCCATGAAAGCATTTAATGTTCTCTGAAGGTCCTCATCTTTATTTTTAACAAAAGAAAGACATTGCAATTTCATAAACATAAGATAAACGTGAGATAAACGTAAGATCTTTCAATTGTTGCAGTAAAAAAATATTTCAAACTGTTCAGAACAACACAATCAAAATACAAAACTAATGTTTTTAAAGAAAAACATAAATATCCAGGAATCTATGACGTTGTATCATGATTTCCGTAGCAATATCGAAGATAATTAACTCTTCGATCAGGACAAATTGACATAAAAATTTCTCACTTTGTTGGATCCTCGAGAAGCTTTGTACTAAACAAATACAGTGGCATATCTTAAAATGCTTCAGTTGTTTCTTTAAGAACTTTAATGGCAGCAGAAAGGGATGGAGTATCAGTTATTGACTTTGATGCACTAATTCCAGAGGAAATATTTGTGCAAGAATTTACAAGCTGGGTTATTTGGCTTCTTAGAAATGTTGAACCAAATATTCTTTTCCTTCTACCGGTTGACGTTGTAGATGAAGGACGTTTCAATTGGCTATAATCATTGATGCTTTCAAGATTTTGTGAAGGATCTTCAAAAGACTCAGAACCTATATCAGTGTGTTCAAAATCTTCAGTATCATTTTCATGGTTAAGTCTCTGGTTTGGAGTCCAAGCATGATCCACGGTAGCAACAACACCTTGGAACATAAGATCTAGCTTATCTTCAAGCTCAGGATCAATGCCACTGTATCTAAACTTTTTTGCATTTGGCACAACCTAGAAATAAATATTCAATTTATAGAAGGCCTAACAAGAAGGTTGAATTAGTTTAATATATGAAACGTATAAAATGATTATTTACCTCTAATTTTTCTTTCCACCATTCATCAGATGCGTCAATGATTTTCTTCCTAGGATCCCAACCAAGTCCAGTGGATCCACGCTTCAATTCTTTCCATAATTTCCAATTTTTTTTAACTGAACTTTATCATACTCTCTTCCAGTTTTTTCAAAAAAAATTCTTAATTAAATTCGTCCAACCCTCTTTATTGAAGTGTGTAGTTGGTCGATTGCCGAGTTCAATCTCTCTTAGACATAAATCACAAAATATAATCTTCACATCTTTTTCCCATGTTGCGGAAGGCCCGCCATCCTTTGGTTTACCCATTGAATTAATTAATCGCTGTAAGTGGAAGCTTTTTTTTTTTTAAATTTATGCTATAGTTTTCATTGGCATTGATCCTCAATGGATTTGAAATTTTAAGCCCTATATTTTAAAAATAAAATTAGGGAATATTGATGGGTATTTATGGAGTAATTTAGATTTATATGTCTATTAAAATATGTGGATTCAACAACTCTCAACCATGACGACATAGTTATGTAGTCATTCACAGAGTGACGTTTGGCTGACCATCGCATTGCTACTCCACCCCATTGTGTAGTGTAAAGGCGTTGCCACAAGTTAGATTTATTTTAAATCATTTATTAAACAAATTTAAATCCAAGAACTTTGAAAAATCATAGAAATTTTATTTCTTCATCAAATTTGACAAATAATTCCTCTATGGATTTGAAATTTTAAGCCCTATATTTTAAAAATAAAATTAGGGAATATTGATGGGTATTTATGGAGTAATTTAGATTTATATGTCTATTAAATTTTGATAAATACTCCGTGATTATTCGTCTGATTGAGATATAATTTGAATGTTGTAATTTAATTTGAATGTTGTAATTTAGAGCTTGTCTTTTAATACTATGATTTCATGAGTCCCATTTGAGATCAATCTTAACCATGGCTGAATTTACAAATATATGGGTCATGATTTGACTTATATTTTTAAAAATTCATTATAATTAAATCCCTAATCAATTTGGTGCTTATAAATGCTCCATAGAGTCAGGGAACAAAACCCTTCCAACTAAAAATAAAATTGATTGTATATAGAGTAATAACACTTTAAATATTTTTAAAATTGTCTCAATTACTCTCTATATACTAAATGATTTGAACTCAAATTTGGCTGACCTAAACTTTGTTATGCTCTTTGCATATTATAGCTTTCTTGAGCATATTTGAGGCTCACACTTCTCTATCTTGAATTTTCAAATACATCGGTCATATTTTGACCTAAATATTTGAAAATTCATGGCGATCATTGCATATAGAATTAGGGCTTAAAATTGATGTGGTGTGTTTTTGTTTATGCAAGGGTTAGAATAAAACTAATTTTATAAAAATTCAAATAGTAGAGTGCCAAATTAATTCCTGAAAGATATAGGCACATTTACCTTGGGGAATTGATTATGACACATATGAACGCTTTGATGAAATCAAATTTAATGAGTTTCAAGCACATGTTTAGATAAACATCTATTTTAAATTTTATTGCATTTGTAGTTCATTCAGTCTATCAATTAGTGAGCCTAAATTTGACATGCATAATTGATATATGATTTTCATTAGTTCATAATAAATCCAAAATAAATCATAAAATTGTATTTTAAGCTTAATAATGCTCATAATTAAAAGCTAAATAAAAGAAAATTAAAAACCACTTGAAATTCTTTCAAAATAAAAAGTAATTTGAAATTAAAAAAATTATTTATTAATTAATTAAAATAATTAAAGAAAAATAAATTCTCTAAATAATTCCAAACACTTGTAATCATCCCTAAGAGCCAGCAATGACATTTGGAAAAGATTTTAAGAGGTTTTAGTTGATTTGGGCTTAAATAAAAAGTTCCCTAATTACTTGAATTAACTAATTAATTAAATGGGCTAAACTTATAAAAATCAAAACTAATTACAACCAAATAACACAAACTCAAAGGCATTGAATTCATAATTTGGTCTAATATTTATGAAAAATATAAATATTTAAGAATTCAATGTGAATAAAAAATTAACATATGGTCAAAATTAATTAGTTAAATACTTAAATAAATGACAAAATTTAATAAATAACCAAAAAATTAGCAAAAGATCAAGCCAATGAATTGAATTTAGTGAATAACAATAACAAAATTGAAACATAAATATCATAATAATTGTTGGGTAACTTGGGATTACGAGATTATTATGTTAGTCTCAAGTCCTAGTTTAACAAAAATAGTCACTATTAAATCTAAATAATAATTAATAATCGGTAAAAAATACTTTTTTTTCCATAACCTGTTCTTTTTTATCACTAGTGAAAACGAAACAAAGTTACAAGCAGGTGAAGAATATCTAGAAACCTAGCTGGATAAATGAAAAGTACAATATCTAGTGAATGAAAATTGATTATACAAGTAATTTTAATCTTGGAGAACCAGAATGCTTTTAAAATCATAAAATTTGATATCAAATGCATATGAAGAAGAGGAAAGGTTATTTTTTATTTAGAGGATTAGGCATATTATTTGGCTTTGAGGTCATGGTGTCTGATTATGAAGGTGTACATAATGCAAACTCATGAATATAGATTTTTTATTATCTAGTTCTTAAGTGATGATTTTTTATATGTGACAAAGTAGGCTATACATGATCATATTAATTTTAGAAACCTTGATTCCTTAAAGGAAGCTATGTAATTTTTCTTTTTTTTTTTTTTTTTTTTTTTTTTTTGAAAAAATATGAAGTCTTAGATTGATTTTAAGTTATTTACATTTTAATATATAGAAAATTTATTTTATCCTAAAACTCTACAATATCAAATACGTCTAAACCACCCCCAACGAAAAAACAAAGAGTAAAATTAAAAAAAAAGATTTTCTATTGCACAATCAGACAAATAATCAACACACACTTTATATATATAAATAAAAAATAAGTATCAATATCCAAATTATTACAAGCAGATTTAACAGCTGAGTTGACCGATTTGATAGTAGTGTAAATCATATTTAATAAAGAAAAATATGATTTTCTATTGCACAATGAGACAAATAATCAACACACATTTTATATATATCAATAAAAAATAAGTGTCAATGTCCAAATTATTACAAACAGATTTAACAGCTGGGTTGACATATTTGATAGTAGTGTAATCATATTTAAACTAATATTGTTAGTATTAAACTTTAAATAAATATTTTAAAAATTATATGAGAATTTTTTTTTATCTAAAATAGTATTTCAAATAATATATTTTCAAAAAATAAATACTACATATATTTCCGAAGAGTATATAAATTCGAGCCCTAATATTAGGATAAAACCTTTCATGCCATCAGTCTTGAAACCCTATTCACGTGCGTAGAAAAAGGCCGATCGCTAATTTTCTTCTTGTTTCTCACTGCAGTCAAATTCCATCAGTACTTACTGGAGTTTCGATAACCCTACTACCAAAGCGTTCTCCGGCAGAAATTTCAAAAACGACAATATCAAACCTTTATGCCACCATTACATGAATCTAATAGGTTTAAAATTGATAAATAAAAATATATGATTAAAAAAATTTAAAATAAAATAAGAAAAAGAATATGATAGGAATATTCCTTTTTTTATGTTAGAAAATGAAGTTTGATTGGAGTCAAGTTACTGCATTTTAAAGTTTTACTATATTTTGGAGTGAAAAATAAATTTTTGGGTTGGAGATGCCCTAACTACCAAAGCGTTCTCCGGCAGAAATTTCAAAAACGACAATATCAAACCTTTATGCCACCATTACATGAATCCTTTTTACCCGGCAGAGATTTCCAACTTAAAAGTAACTTAAATGTCGAAATTTGTTTCTTCACCAAGATTTCAATGGCAGAAGAATGTAATATCTTTGTAGGCAAGAAGAAATCGGCCAATCCATTAACCTCTTAACTCTGCATGGCTCGCCCCTATCTCGTTATAGGAGAAGCGTTCTAGGGTTTCTACGGCGCGAACTTCTGCAGCTCGAGTAATCGGTGAGTAGTGCTTGGGAGTCATAGCTGCTCCTCCAAGCCTCCGAGATGCCTATTTACAAAATCAGGGGAATCAATGTCGATTTCCCTTATGACGCGTATGATTGTCAACTCGTCTACATGGAAAAGGTCATGCAATCTTTGCAGGAGGCAAGTATTTCTCTTTTCAGTTCTTCCTTCCGTATCATTCATCATCGACTTCTAGTTAATCACTTTCGAGCAACTTAACTTCCAATACGTTCTCTTTATTCGGCTACTTCTGGCTGATTTCAAATTCATGAGTATATGCTTCTGAGTTCAAAATAGCTACGGCTTCCTCTATTATATTGCCATCTGTTTGGTTAATACATTTGTGTACTTCATCCGCTTGTAGATGTAATTTGGATCCTGAAGTTCTGAGAAGAATATTTTTTTGTTCCTTTAAGGGGTTGTTTGGCTACAATTAGGATTTAACTCCAGTAGAATTTAGTAAATCTTGTTAATCCATATTTAGTAAAACTTGAGGGGATGAAAAACTGAAAATTGCTTGACGTGACAATTATTAAATATTATTAAATTATGATAACTCATTTGGCTATTTGTTTTAGGGCTTGAGTTTTATGAGAGAGAGAAATCCTTATATCCGTTGAATACTGGGAATGTTGGAATTTAACATATACTGAAATGGGATTTATCAAAGCAGCAGGATTTAGTTTCTCAAAATTCTCTTTGGCTGGATTTAAGCTATGCTTAAATCATGCTTAAATCAGATAGCCTCTAAACTTTAATTTGGTAGGTGTAGCCAAAGCATGAATATGGAGGTACCCACATAAATTAAACTGATGTTTAATTTTACTTAAATTGATCAAAGTGTAGACCAATGAAACTTAGATGGATGCGTTGGCCCCATCGCAAGTTCCAATGTATCACAAATAAATTATTAGCACCAAAATTGTCTGAGTCGAATCGTAGAAACCCAAAACTAACTATTACATGGTGAATTGGCATGGTTTACACAAGCTAACTCGATTGAGGTTGGATCGGGTTAGTTACCACCTTTGTGTGTTGTTTATAAGTAGATATAGAAGGGGCTCGAGCCCCCCCTTTTGCGTGGTTTTTGCCCTATCGCCTGCCTATGATAGTTGGTAGGCTATCTGTTTGACTTAATGGGTTCTTCTAACAGTGGGCAACATGCTGGTGGCCTCCAATCTCCTTGATGCATGCTTATGATTATGTAATTTATTGTTGGAAGATTTGAGCTTCTTTAAGCTATTTTGTCTTTGATATTTCATTGTTTCACCATTCATTTCAGGCGAAGCAATCCTCTTGAGGGGAGGAGTTATTCCACATGACTAGAATGTTCATCGTTTACTGAACGGGATCCCTGAGAGTAGGCAACCCATGACTACTAATCAGATTTCCTGGACACTACGGTCAATGATTGGTAGTGTTGATAGATTGAAATCTATAGTATACCCGGGACGACGGAACCATGAGATCTTGATCTGGTTTACCTCCATTTTTCCCATAATTGAGACTAAAACACCTAAAATTTATTCATCCGTAATCGAGAGTTCTTTCTTACGTGTTAAGAGGGATAATTAACTATGAGTGTCTACGCTCATGGGAAGTAAGGACCTCAGATCTTTAAACTCTGACAATATCCTCAGGGGAAATCTGGTTAATTTCAATTTGACTCAAGAGAAATGGAATCTTATTTCTGCAAAGTGTGATTCATGCATTAGTGCCATTTTTCTTGAGCCAACAATAAGGAGGGGCTTTGTTGATGTTTTCTACTGACCTCATTCAAGAGGTGATAAGCTTTTTTTTTTTTCTTCAAATTACTATTGCCTATCCAAACCTTTGAAAATCAATTTTCAACCGTCAATGTGCTCATAGTATTAATATCTATAATATGGTAAATTCATAACACCGATAAGTGATATTGTTGGTGGCGAACTCTACTAAACCACTGTCATTAAATTAATGTTGGTATCTTGGGTAAGTTTGAGTCAGGGCAAGCTAGCTAGGCACAAGCTTAGGTGCTATCACAACTTTGTCATGGGAAGGTATGATTTCCTTAGTTTATTATTGGTAATTATGGTAAGTATTCTAGATATGATTCATAATGCCTTTTTAAATATTGTAAATTACCTTTTATTTAGTTCATTTAGTGATTTTTTTTCCAATTATGAAGATCTCCCAAATCCTTCGAGAAATTTGAAGAGCATCTGTCACTCTTAAGATTTATGATACAACCATGATCATATTGTTGCCTTGATCAGTTTTGCCGACCGCCATTCTACATCACAACTACGGAGAATAACTTTTGCAACTCATCCTCTTGCATTGTATCAACGCCTTGTCTAATCATATGGGGAAGATTGGTTACCTTTATCTCTTATTATAATAGTGAATATTATTCAAGTAGGCAATTCCTGTGATTTTTCCCTTTTGGTGCTTCTCCATCTCCATGTAAAAAATTATATGCCAACATTCTCTGTTTAACTGATTGTGTGACCAAGATGGATTATCACTCTCCTAACTTGATTTCCTTCACAAATTAGTTTTTATGTCAAACTTCTCTTTCCAGTATTGCATGCAAGTTTTGTAAGCCATTTGCTCTCTTTAAGCAATATTTCCTTGTGCCCCACCTTCTGACAACATTTCATTTTATCAGTGAGTTAGATTATGAAACATAAATCTATATTCAATCTACAAAACAGTTCCAAAGAACTAGTTATTTATTTTGATAATTGGAATATCATTGCAGGGTTGTAATGCATTATTGGAGAGTCCAACAGGGACAGGAAAAACTCTTTGCCTATTATGTGCCACACTAGCCTGGAGAAAGACATTGGCGACTTTTCATTGAAAGTTGATGAAGGGCAAAACTGTTTTTCTGGAAGCCAACTATCTGATAATCAATCAACAGAAGTTCCAAAATCTAAATTCCCTATCATCATATATAGTTCTCGCACTCATAGCCAGCTGAAACAAGTTATTCGGGAACTAAAAACAACCAACTACAGGTAGAATTAAAATAAAAGTTGTCCATTTCTTTTGAAATAGTTTGAACATTATAAACAATTTTTATGTATATTTGAATGCTAGAATTCTCTTTCAAAGATATGTTAACAGCTCTTCTCTCATCGTGACAAACTTGCAGGCCTCGCATGGGGGTATTAGGTTCTCGAGAACAGATGTGCATTCGTGATGATGTTAGGCAGCTTCGTGGTAGAGCACAAAACGTTGCCTGCCATACGCTTTGCAAAAGAAGGAAGTGTCGCCATCACCTTAATGTTTCTGGTAACTTATGTTGCCTTTTTTTTTTCCAATTTGCTTGATATTTCCAACCATTCATTTGGAGGATGAGCTGCAAGTTTCTAATTGAAATTGGTATTCGGTATATCATAATTAAGTTTCAGTGAAATGAATGGAAAACTATGACTCCACCAAAAAAAAAAAAAAAAGTTCAGGTGGATGTTATAGAAATGTTATTGTAGGTTATGTTGCGGTACAACATGCTGCATAGAGGGATCATTTAATAATCCAAAAGGTGGCATACATATTTTATGTTGACTTGGTGATCTTACCCTTCTTTTTCTGGATAGTGGATTTCTTTGAGCGTTATGGTTATGAGCCATACCGATTCTGACGCTTTATATTTCTTTTCACAACAAAATATTTATCTAGTTTCACAACAAAAACAACAACAACAGCAGCAGCAGCAACAACAACAACAGAAAAAGTTGGAGTAAGAAGCTCGATAGGAGCAATTGCTTCATGATTAAGCAAAATAGACGTACATGATTGACCATACGTGACTAAAAGATAGCAATGAATGGCCAAATAAGAACCATCAACAACCACAGTATTATTTGGAGAAGTTGAAACAGGGAGTAAAGGAGTGTGAGCCATCACAAGACTCCATTATGCAGGCATAACACTAGAAAAGATTAGAGCAGATTTACCAATCTCCAAATATAGGGACGATGATGCAACCTAAGTTCTCAAAACCTTTTAGGATAACACTAGCAATGCAAAGTTGCAAACTAAGACACTTTCTTTCAATAAAACATAAACAATACCAAACAATGTAAACTTAGTAGGAAACAAAGATAGAAAAAAATGTTAGGAAGACGCACAAGATAGAAAAAGAAATAAAACATAAATTAAAATACCCTCAGAACAACTCCAAATGGTCACCTCACAAGCAAAACACAAACTATGGAAGGTTATGATTGGAAAGGACAAACTAGAGATTCACCACAGAAAGTTATGATCTAGCACAAATCTATGCTCTTCCAGCAAATACCAATAGAATAGGGCACAATACCACCTTACAAATTATAATATTTAGAGAAGAAAGATACATGTAGAAGGGAAACCATAAAGAAAAGAAGTAGAAAGAAGGCCAAGAGGAAGAAATAGGGGCCAAGGAGAAGATAGCTTGCAAGCTAAGAAGAAACCTTCAAGTTTATATTTTTTTTCACACCATCAACAACTTCTGCACCATAAAATTCAATCACTATTTATAGGAGAAAGGAGGGGAAATAGTATTTATTAACTCCTATAAACGAGCCTCCAAAACAACCACTAAAAACCTTCCAATCGGCCCATACATGGAGAAGCCAAAGGAACCAACAAAGGGATCAGTAAGGGGAAAGAATTGAGCAGCCAACATGGGGAAGACCAAACAATCACCATGGGAAAACTAAAAAACAAACCAAATTGCGGAAAATCGAATTAGCCAATAGGGAAAACAAGCAGACATCAGAGGAAAAAACCGCAGATAGTAGGGAAAAAATAGCAGACAACAAAGAAAAACAACAAACATCAAGAGCAAGGAAGTAAGATCAATACAATAGGAAGGCAATGGAGTGAACTGACCTGAGAGCAGCTAACCCAACATGATCATGAGTTATTTTCCATCATATGACAATATAAAATAAAATTACAGTGTCCAAAAAACAAGAAAATAAAAATAAAATAAAATGATAATTCTTGACTACATTAATTCACCCATGGTGGAAAAATCTCATCATTTGAGGAGAATGCTTCAATCATCCTCTAGTAGATATCAGGATCATGAAGCTGCAACTCCTCATATTCAATAATCAGTTAGGGGGACGCCCACTCCATCTAACCAAGAATTGTCAGTGTACTCCATGTCTCGTTTGGGTAGTACGGATATTCGCAACATCATCGGTAGCAATAAGCGGCAAAGTCCTACACAACTGTATGCTTTTAACAACACTTGTTAATATCTTCTCAACAATGGAAGAATTTTTCCCAAAACAAGGCTTTACCTGATATGTGATTGAACCATCTCTTTCAAAAAGCTCAATATCTTTTGATCTATGATGCACCGACACTTCTCCTCATAGAGGCGTGCAGTGTCCGACATCGTATCCGACACGACACTCGTCCGACATGAGTCGGAAATGCAAAGAATGTGTCCGATTAAAAAATATTAAATACAAATTGGACACGCGTATCTTAAATATTTTATGATTTTTTTAAAATATAATTTATTGTATTTAGTGAGATTTAAACTAAATTTCTTATTTCCAATCCACAACACCAAATCAACATCCGCACTTAATACCCAATCATCAAATATTCTCATTTTCATTTCTTTTTGGCATTGAAAGTATTTTCATCTCCGCTCTCAGTGACTGATAAAAGGCATCGACGCTTGACTCTCGACATCCTAATATTAATCATTTTAAGCACAAATTCTAGTTAAATGACTTATTATTTTCAAATTATTTTTAAAATTATACTTATTTAATTTTTATACACTTTTTTAAATATAATTACTATAATACCGTGTCCAACCTGTGCCCGTGTCATATATTTTCAATAACTAACGTGTCCCGTGTCCGTATAGTGTCGCTGTGTCCATATCGCCGTGTCCGTGTCTGTGCATCATAGCTTTTGATAGAATATTGCTAGCCAAAGTGTCATTGTCAAGGAAAATAATGGATGATAAATCTTTACTTGGCAAAGCTAGATTCATCAATTCAAGTTGTTCATCCTCAATTAGCTGCATGTTCCCATCGATATTTTGATGAGCTATAAATATTTTATCAACAACTTCCTCCATGGCCGTTGTCCCCAATTGCTGTTCTTCTGGCTACCTCACCTTCTCTTCTTTCATGTTTACTTTATTCAACGGCTTTTTACAGCAGACAGGTTGATCAACATAATGCAATGTCTCCTCATCAGATCGCCTTTCAAGAATAACATCTTCTTCATTGTGCCTTTCATGGTTATGTATCTCTTTGTCATCCTTTGCTTGCACCTTACTCTTTCTTTTAATGCATTGTTTCTCACATGTTACCAACCTATTCAGGACTTCAACTTTGTCTAATGTTTGAGTCTTCTCACTCTTGTGTAGCCTCTGCATTTGATCATTGTCTAACGTATTAGTCAATACAAATTTATCCACAATATCATTGATTGGATAAATGGTAAACTAAGCATCTTGAAGAGCATAGCCTGATTGCATTTCTTTTCTTTTTTTGAGAATGTTGCTTCCCAGAAGAAAAACATGGCAACTTACCACCAAGAATATGAATTGAATCAGGATTAACTGAAGAAACAACTTCATCAATAGGCATTCTCCAAAGTGAGTTTTGCAAATAGTTAGAATCTGATCTTTGGAATACAAATGTCACCTTATTGGATCCCGCATTTTATTTCAAAATAAATTTGCCCTTTGGAGCTCGAGTTGGTTGGTTTAGCTTCCCCATCATTTCATTGTTTAGGGAATTAGCATTGGTTAGATTTAGTGCAGCCAGGGTATTAGTCATTACTTCAATTTATTGTTGTAGGTTAGCCATTTGTTGCATAAACATATGTTGCCAATCCACTTGTTGATTATTTTGATTATCCATTCTTTTCTTGTTTTTAAGAGAAAGGAAAACTTGCCCTACAATCTAAGTTTCTGATACCAAATTGACGTAATCTAAGGCTCTGATACCAAATTAATACAACCTAAGTTCTTAAATCTTTTAGGAGAACACTAGGAATGCAAACTAAGACACTTCCTTTCAATAAAACATAAACAACATCAAACAATATAAATTTGGTAGGAAACAAAAATGGAAAACAAAGGTTAGGAAGACACAGGATAAAAAAAAAACATGTAAATTAAAATTCCCTCAAAACAACTACAAATGGTCACCTCATCTGCAAAACACAAATTAGGGAAGATGCTTAAAGGACATGACAAACCAGAGATCCACCATAGAAAGTTACGATCCAGCACAAGTCTATGCTCCTCCAGCAAATACCAATAGAACGGGGCACAACACCACCTTACAACTCACAATATTTAGAGAAGGAAGATATAGGTGAAGGGAAACCGTGGAGAGAAGAAGTAGAAAGAAGGCCAAGAGGAAGAAATAGGGGTTAGGGAGAACACAGCTCGCAAGCTAAGAAGAAACCCTCAGGTTTATATTTTTTTCACACCATCAATAACTTCTACACAATGAAATTCAACCACTATTTATAGGAGAAAGGAGGGAAAATGACATTTATTAACTCCCATAAAAGAGCTTCCAAAACAACCACTAAAAACTTCTAAATCAGCCCATACATGGAGAAGCCAAAGCAACCAGCACATGGATCAACAAGGGGAAAAATGAGCAGCCAGCATGGGGAAACTAAATAGTCACCATGGGGAAGACCAAACAACCACCATGGGGAAACCAAACAACCAGCCAACATGAGGAAAACCAAATCAGCCAGCAGGGAAAATTAGCAGACAACAGAGAATAAACAGCAGATAGCACATATAGCAGGGTAAAATAACATACAATGGAGAAAAAAATAACAGACAACAGGGAAAACCAACAGACAATAGAGAAAAAAAGGCAAACAATAGACAATAGGTGCAAGGAAGCCAGATTAATACAATAGGAAGGCAATGAGAGCACCTAACCTAGCATGATCATGTGTGTTTTTCCATCATAGGGCAGTACAAAATAAAATTACAAAGTGTCCAAAAACACAAGGAAAAAAAATATAAAATGATAATTCTTGACTACATCAGATGAGAACGGAAAATAGGCATTGAGATAGACAAAGCACGCTGTGGATCCTCGATGTCAATACTAGAGGCATCGACAAAATGTGTGAAGAGCTAAGGGAAGCCCCATGAAGTGATATGGAAACCATACTACATGTTAAGGTTAGGGAGGTGGAGGCTGGCCACTTGGAATTAGTAAGATGTTGTAGGCTAATGTCAAGTTTTGGGTTTGATGAAAGTATTGAAATTCTAGGATTTTTTAAATTCTTGACAAGGATGTTAGGTTAATGGAGAATTTAGGGTTCCTTAGGATTTCTTGAGGAGGAATTTATGCATGCGTGCACGAATTAGGGTTTTCAAGAAATAACTTAATTCATGAACTTTCAAGAAACCATGAAATTAACATAATATTGATCAAGGTGAGAGTGATTACTAAAAAAATTTCTAAAAAACCCTAATTAGGGTTTTTCCATCCAATCAAACTCCCCCTACCTTGTTCTTTTTAATAGAGTGAGAAATAGAGTCCCTTTTGTTTTTGATATGATAGAGAGAGTGAGTCACCTCTGGATGTGTGTAAGGGATAAGGAGCCATTGAATGTGTGGTGAGGGAGCCATTGGGTATGTATAGAATAAGAGAACGAAGAAGATAGGAGAGAGTCATTTTCATGACTAAAAAGATTACATGTAGGGCCCTATTTATAAACTTAGGGTTTTGATTCAAAATTTTAAAAACTAATCAAATTCTAATCTCTAAAATCAATGCACTTAAATACATGAATTATCCACAAGATATTGATTATTCAAAATCAAACCTTGATCCTATACATAAAAGATTGTGGTCAGGCTTTTCCATGATGCATTGCTAGGATTTGATCTTGATGGTAGAAATTTCTCCTATCTTGGAATATTCCTCGAGACTTTTTAAAGGCTTTTAAGACATTTTGGAAGATTGCTAAGTTCATCTGAAAGGTTCCTCAGTTCTTCTGGAAGGTTCCATAAAATTCTTCTAATATATTCTAGAAGCTTGATTATTTTTTCATTTGTAATCATGATCTCATGTAATTCTATTTACCATTTTACCCAATTTAGATCATCATTACATCCTTTTTATGGCTTCTTGAAAAGTTCTAATGGATGAAAATTGGCAGTGTTGGTAACTCATAATTTGAGTCTGCATGATTGGATCAGCTCATTGGGTTGTGCCAAGTGTTGAAGAGCATTCTGAACCAATTATTATTGGCCTTCTACCTTTGCAATTAGATTTTTTTTTTAAAGATTTTGTGGAAAAGATTATTCTTCTTTTACTGATCTTGATAAACTTAGAGTTGAAAGGTTTTCATTCAAGTAGATCTAAAACCTATACATGGAGTGTAATTTTCGTAGTAATAAGATATAGTGGAGGGATTGTGACATTGGACGATCAAGTCATTAATAAGAGAACTGGTTTTAGATATTTTGGGTCTATTGTACAAAGTGTGGTGAAATAGATGGGAGTATTAATAGTAGAATTCAAGTTATGGTTGAAGTGGAGGAATGCATCGAGCCTTTTTGTGATAGAAAAGTAGCCCTCAAACTTAAAAGGAAAATTCTATAAGATGGTGGTGAGACTTACAAAGCTTTATGGTGCAGAATGTTGGCCATTAAAAGAGAAGCATAAAATTAAGTTAAGTGTTGTAGAGATGAGGATGCTTAGGTGGATGAGTAGCTTTACTCTTAGCGACAAAATGCGAAACGACTATGTACATGAAAAGGTTGGAGTAGCTCCAGTGGCAGATAAGATGGTTTGGACACATAAAACACCGGCCTTTCTATGACCTAGTTAGGAGAGTTTATTTATTTGATTTGACCTATGTTAAGAAAGATAGAGGCACACATAAAAATACTTTGATCGAAAATATTAGAAATGATCTTTTTTTATTAAATTTAAATGAGAATTTGACTCTTAACTGGACACAATGGAGATTAAAGATTTGTGTAGCCGACCCCGTGTTGTTGTTGTAGTACTGATCTTGAAAAGCTATTATTTGTTCTAATAATAGCTGTTTTATTATTAGCAGCTTCTCTGACGTTTGAGATCCTTCTTATGCCTTGATAATTACACCTTGTTTAATTTGTAAAATAATCATGTTGCCTGGACAATGTCAGGCTTGTGTAACATCTTTTAATTTAAAGGTGGTATTTTTTTTTTTTTTTTTTTTTTTTTTTTTTTGAGTTGTAGTGAAAGTATAGATTGGTTAAAATTTTACTTTTATCTGAATATCATTTTTTCAAATGGCACCTTTAGTAATTTCAATTGCTACGCTGCATATAAGTTTTTTTTTTTAAATTTAATTTAATTTTAATTTTATTTTTATTTTTAGTTACGATGCATATAAGTTGATTGTGCAGTTGAACAAAGATAGGATTGGTCTTAACTTTAGTTTTTATCTTGACATAAAGATTGTTCCTCTTATACTGTTTTTTTTTTAAAATTTTTAATTTTTCTTCTTTGAATATTGCTAATTTCACTGCTATGCTCAAATACTTGTAGAGTTCATGAAAAATCATCAAGATATTGGAAATGATCCTTTCGACATAGAGGATTTGGTTAAGATTGGAAGGACAAAAGATGCGTAGGTCTCCAATAGCAACTCTTTCTTTTATTACATCTTTGCACTTGAAAGTTGTCTATTTCACTGCATTTGCACTTTTGGTTTGTTATTATTATAGGCTTGAATTGCTTTAATACATGAGAATCACTGTTGCACAGATGCCCCTACTACATAAGCCGTGAGCTTCACAAGGTTGTTGATATTTTGTTTGCACCATACAACTATCTTATTGATCCTGGAAATCGGAGTTCTTTATCTGGCATCTCATGGAGCAATGCTGTGCTTATTTTTGATGAAGCTCACAACCTGGTATTTATTTTTCTATTGTCATTTAGCCCATTGGTTTTAATTAGACGATGAGATTTATGCAATGTGATTGCCATCCATAAGCTCTCAGCTCTGCATACTCGAGTAAATTCATTATTTCGTTTCTCTAGATAATAGGTATTTATCAAATAGGCATGCAACTAACAAGGCTAATTTCACCTCCTCTCAATGGTGGCATCAGATTTCATTGAGATCTTTTTTACACTGAGTTTTCTCCTAATTAACTTTTTGCTAACGAAATACTGTACCCTGATTCTACTGGCTTAATGGGCCTCTATGCTTCTAGAATTGATATAAAGTTCTATGAAAGATGAAAAGCAATTAAGCATTCACCATACTGCATTCAGGCTCTCTTAAAATCGTTATCATACGTTTTGGCATATATGAAGATGAATATATTATGTTTTTCTTACATGCAGGATAGCATATGCGCTGATGCAGCTTCATTTGACTTGCCTTCCAGTTATCTGACTGCTTGTATAGCTGAAGCAAAAGAATGCATTGACCTTTGCATTGAGAAGAGGGCACTTGAAAGAGCAACTGATAAACGGCATGATCCAGAAACCTATTCTATACTTAGAGGTATGTATTTTGTTCAAACTTTCTGATGGTTATGTTATAAACCATCTAGGTCCACCGAGAGTGACAGAAGTCTTTCAATTTTAACCTATGCAAGAAATGCAATAACAACAACAACAACATCAAGCCTTTATCCCACTATGTGGGGTCGGCTACATGAATCCTTTTTCTTCATTGTGTCCTATTAAAAGTCAAATTTTCGTTTAAATCTAATAAAGAAAGATCATTTCTAATATTTTCTAACTAAGTCTTTTCAGGTCTGCCTCTACCTTTCTTAACATAAGTCAAATCTAATACCTCTACTTTCCTAACCGGGTCATGGGAAGGCCGCCGTTTTATTTGACCAAACCATCTAAGGCGACTCTCTCTAATCTAATACCTCTACTTTCCTATGCAAGAAATGCAGCATAATAGAATTACATAATGAATCAAATACACAAATTCAAGTGCATGTAGGTATGTATGTTAAAGTGATGCTTACAAGTGATTGAAAACTATAAGCACAATATTAATGATCACACTGGACTACACCATCACATAAACTAATAATATCACAAGAAGCAACCTCTAAACACAAGTTTCCACACTATATATGTGATTATAAGTATAAAGATACAATGCTAACTGTGAGTGTTATTGAAATTTTAAGCACACATTTAATAGATGCTCTATTATAATAGCATGAGCAATTCAACTTATAGATCAGTACATTGACAATAATGTGACGTGCAAGTGACTAAATCTAAGCTATAAAAGAAGTTGGCACAATGATTTTTATTTAATTCAATCCAAATCGACTTACATCCATGATTAACCCTCTCGCTTAGGATTCCTCTTGAACCCTCTTTATGGCGGTGAAACCTTCTTTGAAGGTAGAGTAACCAATAAATGTTTTCTTGAATCATAACAAGAGTTGTACAATCCTATGCTGCGAGGACTAGGACAACCCACTATAAAGTTACAATCAAGAACATATCCCCATAAGTTTTTTAGGGTATGGTGATGTGCAAACTGAAACACTTTACAAGAGTGACATTTAATCTATAATAATATAAGGTTTGAAAATAAATATATAAAAGAAATAATTAAATCTTAATAGATCGCGGGATAATTACTCAAAAACTTCAAGATGTTTCTCTTTGATGAAGACAAAAATCACTTATTATGTTCCTTGCATATGTTAGCTCCAATTTCATTACAATACTATAAACCTTATTTTAGGCAACTGAACATAAGAATTGGAATGACGCCATTAGAGAAGGGATGAATGCTCTTGAAAGAAATTTAGCTTTGAGAGATCATTGAACTATAAAAAAATAGTAGAATGCAAATGAATTTTTAATTAAAATATAGAGCATATGGAAGGCTAGAACAATATAAAATAAAATTAGTCGCAAAAGGATATGCTCAGTCTTATGGAATTGATTATCAAGATTTTTTTGCTCACGTCATGAAAATGAATATAATTTGCATCCAAATTTCTCTAGTTGCTAACTTTAGATTGTCAATGCAATAACATTATGTAATGAGTGCTTTTTTATATAGAGATGTTTAAGAAAATGTCTATATTGATCCACCACTAGGATTTCATAGCTCTTTCACAACGAATAAAGTATGCAAATTACAGAAAGGTTCCATATGGTCTTAAACAATCCCCAAGAACATGGTTTGAAAATTCACGAAAGTCATAAATGGTGTAAGTTACAAAAAGAGCCAAGGAAATCATATACTTTTTATAAAATATTCCATTGATTGCAAAATTTTAATTCTAATTGAATATGTGTTAGACCAGTCCATTGGACTAGTTCAGCCGGTCCACACGGGACCGACCCAAGTGCTAACGGAGGCAGAAACCTATACACCCGATCGGACGCCCAAGCAACATAGAGCAGTTTAGTAAGTTTTTTTGTGAAAGTTTAGGAGAGAAATTGAATGTAGGAACTGTTTAGAGATTTCATTTTGAATTGTATGCATTAAATAGTTTGTTATCCTAGGGTTATGGCCTCTTGAATTTGGCTGAAATTGGATATCTCCTAGATTTAGGTTTTCTTTGGGCTTTGGCGGCGTCTAAAGATTTGAGAGAGATCGATCCTCTCGAATGAGGATCAACTGTATCTTGCTATTTTTCATTTCTATTTCATCAAATAATACAAATTATCTACTATTTTCTTGTTTTCGTGTGGATTTTTTATGGAGAATTCTCGTTGTTTTTCGAGGATTGATATGAATTACTTGAGATTAACAAGTTTTACTTATCAAATTGGTATCAAAGCAATACACCAGACAAAAGATGTGTGCCAAGTGCCATACAAGATAAAGTGTTACGTCATGGGAGCCACCTCACCTTGTATGGGAAAAGTGATGCTTGATGGGAGCCACCACTTGAAATTGTAGGGGCCACCTCTATAGTCCTATCTGCCTGGTGGATGATTCTGGGATACAAATGCTGACGAGGACGTTATTTACTTAAGTGGGGGAGATTGTAAAATCCTTTAAGTAAAAGAAAGCTAACTCTTAAACATCGAGGCGCCTTTTGGTGAAATGACTTGAGTTTTTATAAGAAACTCCACAGTTAAGCGTGCTCATCTCAAAACAATTCTGGGATGGGTGGCCTACTGAAAAGTTACATCAACAGGACAAAACCGTGAGGCTTTTAGGTCAAAGCGGACAATATTTCGATAGTTAAGAATTTGAGCTGTTACAAATGGTATCATAGCAAGTCTTGGAACCGTTCTTGGGCTAATTTTGACGAATTTTAGCGGCTGATTTTTGACCAGGATTTCGAAGAAAAAGTTGCTATTTTTGAAGGTCGAAGTCAGATTTTTATTTCTACAAAAATCTGGGGATCAATGGCGGCCAAGAAAATGGATGCGTTGGAGGAACGCCTCGAAGTGGAGATTGGACAAACGAAATCTAACCAAACTCAAGTTTTAGATTTAAAAAAAGATGTTTCAGTCATCAATGGTAAGTTCGATTCAAAATTTTCCATCTTGTAGAAGATGTTGAAGAAAGTGATTGACGGCCAAACCAAAATATCGCCGTCGGAGCTGAGGGAAGATGCCGAAAGCCATGAAAATGCGAAAAAAACCCTAAGCCAATCTTTAGTGTGGTACCAGTGGAGGGATATGAGACAACTAATAAGGATCTGGAGCGAGTTCAAAGATTGTTTGATAGAATGCTGCCAAACCATCAGAGGAGGAGACTTCTACGAGTAGTTCTTCGCCTTGACGCATGATAGTTCAGTGATATTGTACCGGGAGAGGTTCGAGTATCTTGCTAGTCGATTGGATCACTTTTCTGAGACAGTGTTGGAGTGAAAACCTCATGAAGTGATTGACACAAGAGATTTGGGTAGCGATTAGAGTAATGAGGCGTCATGACTTGGGAGAGGCTATGGAGCTAGCTTAATTGGTAGAAGATTAGAGGCACCTAGAGATAGAGACGAGAGGCAGCAGCTCAGGAGGCCCGTACAGGATGACTACCACCTTATTTAAATCCAAAGAGCCAACACTGTATATTCTTATTGGGACTTTGAAGGAAAGGACTGCAGAAGGAAGACCTGGGGATAACTTCAAGAAAACTCATAGAGACATAATTACAGGAGAAGAGGGGGAAGGGGTTCTGTTTCAAATGTGACAAGAGGCATACGTCGGGCATAGGTGTAATGACCAAACTCCTCAAGTTATTACCGTTTGTGATGAAGAAAGAATGAATGAGGGTGTCGTTTTCCACCTTGCAGAAAAAGTGGATCTTTGGGAGGGGAGTATTGTTAGACCATTCCATTGGACCGGTCCACACGGGACCAGCCCAGGCGCTAATGGAGGCGGAAACCTCCGCCTTCTGTACACCCAATCGGACGCCCAAGCAACGTAGAGCAGTTTAGGAAGTTTTTTTGAGAATTTAGGAGGGAAATTGAATGTAGGGAATGTTTAGATATTTCCTTTTGAATTGTATGCATTAAATAGTTTGTTTTCCTAGGGTTAGGGCATCTTGAATTTGACTGAAATTGGAGATATCCTAGATTTTGGTTTTCTTTGGGCTCTAATAGCGCTTAGAGATTTGGGAGAGATCGATCCTTCTCTCAAATTGAGGATCAATTGTATCTTGCTATTTTCTGTTTCTATTTCATCAAATAATACAAATTATCTACTATTTTCCTATTTTTGTGTTGGACTTTTGTGGAGAATTCTCGCTGTTTTCTGAAGATTGATAGGAAATACTTGAGATCTACAAGTGTTTCCTATCAATATGTTGATATAATTATTACGGGTGATGCAATTAAATAAAGTGTATATCAGTAAAAAAGTTTATTGAAAAATTTGAATTTAAAGAATTAGACAAACTTAAATACTTCCTGGATATATATAAGTTGTTTAATGAGAAAAAAAATCTATTTCAATAAAAATGTCATGGATCTACTGAGTGAAACAAAATGCCTGTTTATAATTATTGTGAAATTTCAACGGAACCTAGTTAGAAACTAGATGTAGATGAAAGAGGAATAGAAATACACATGAGAAAACATCAATAATTAGCTAAAATTAGTCTATCTCATATCTATCATGACATTACATTTACAATAATTTTTTTAGTTAATTTATGCACAAACTCAAGGAGTTTTACCTTCAGGCTGATGGATTTGTCAAGTATTTTTAAAAAAATTAAGTCTTGGAAGATTGATTTTTTTTTAATAAAAATTATGATATTTTGGGAATTGAAGGTTATAGTGATGCTTACTATGTGGGGTCACCAATGTATAAGAGATCCAATTTAGGATTTTGTATATTTATGATATGAAATCTTATGAAATGGTAGTGCTAGGAGCTTCAAGGTCCAGCATTGAATTTGAATTCAGGTAATTACCTAAGATGTCTGCGAGCTTCTATGGATTAAATTTTTTTAGAAGATTTACAAAATCAGGTGGGAAGAGCCTATGAAGATATACTACAACATCGCTCACAATCTAATAAAACATGATCGTACCAAATATATGAAGGTTGATT